TTTTCCCTTCTTATTTTTTAAAATTTTAAATTGCGCCGGGGGGTTTCTTCATTAAGTTATTAAACTATAAATAACCAGATTTAATTTTGTAAACTCAGTATACTCAGTTTCAAGTTAAAAATAGATTTTTTTTTCAAGTTATTTAGTGAGTTAATTAAATTACGTACAGCCACAGACTTGTTAAACCCATCGCAGGATGTCAATCAGATCAGAGAAATAAAAAAAACCAGGGAGTTCAGATAACTGCAGGGAATAATCAGAGAAATTGGGTTAAGTTTTCGAAAAATCGGGAAAAATGACTATTCATCAAACTTACGTAACTAAAGTAAGCTGTATAGTATTAAAATTTTATTTATAATTTTGCAATTAAAGAACAATTTTCTAAACGAATACAAATCTAATTTTTTTCTATCTAACTTCAAATTAAATCGTATGTCACACTTCTGTGTGGCTTTTTCAGTAAATGATGAGTAGTAACTACGTTAATTGAAAATTATTCAGTAGTTTAAGTTTGTCAACTAATAATCTTTCAATAAAGGAGACATTCATAATGACGTACAAACCACTTATTTAGGACCCCCTCTCCTATTGTACGCACCCGCATGGCTTTAACGACATCCCTCCTTCCTCTGCATACGTTAACATTATTCATTGCAAAGTCAGCTCCATCCTTCCCCAACGCTCAAAATATTAAAAGCAAAAAAATTTCAGACATTTTTAGTTAATTTGTCAAAAATGAAGAGAACAACAACAAAATAAAAGGTATTTGAAAAAATATATTTGTATACTTGTTATCTGACATTACCATTACCACTGTTATCTGATATTACATAATGTAATGATTTTATGTTAAAATTTATGAACATTTATTTATATTTACTGCAATGTAAAGCGGTTTTTGATGATAAGACCATTTACTCTTCTGCAAGTTTTCCGCGTATTTTTACAATGTTTCAGTGAATTTGTAATTTTTGTAAAACCTCTTTGCAACATTTTGTTTTTTGCTGCAAGGCTTTACATGCCAGTCAGGTTTACGCTGTTAAAAAAGTTTTATTAATGAATTAGATAGCCTCTTTTCCCTCTATCTTCGCCGCAGATTACATCAACCCAGTCAGCTTTTTAATCTCCAAGTATAATACGCTTCTTTCAGCTTCTTAAGAAGGCTTTTACCCAATTAAGAAGATTGCTATTTATATCATACATTTCAAGCTTTTGCAATAGCCTAACCTGCCAAACTTTATAGAATGTCTTTGCAAATTCAGGAAAAATTAGATCTGGTTTCTTTGTTGATTTACTATGAGCCAAAAGTCCATTGTTTCTAAAAGATTTGTTACCTCAAGTCTGTTTCAATGTTGAATGTTGAAAACTAACTTGTTATTTGCCAAACCCTTGATTACGATCTAATTATTTTTTTCTTTAATTTGCATAAAACAGAAGTGAGTGATATTTGTCTGTAATTGGCTGGATCTGTTTTGTTCCTTTTTTTATAAATAGGTATAACATTATCTGTGAGCCAAGATGATGGAAGTTTGCCAGATTTCATTGAAAGTTGGAATATAAAGTTTAGCGGGATTGACATTGATGTGGCACATAATTTTAGAACAAATGTTATCATCGCCCATTGACTTATTTCTATAAAGCGTTTTTAGATATTTGAGAAAAATATTTTAACCAATCGTTATAACAGAAATTAAAGCTTTGATTTTAGACGCAAAAGTTTTTAATCGCTAAATCAACGGTTATTTAGTTAAAACTAATTGAAATTGGTTGTTGAGAATGTTTGCTTTTCGTTACTCCATTGCCTCACATTTGATTTGAATCCGAGGTAAAGGCCGATATGTTAGCTTGTCGTTAGCTGGCTTCGTTTGCTTGCTGATTTAATACCTTTGGAATAAAATTATAGCACGCTTTATTACATAGATTAGACAACAGGAAATAATATTCTTAAACATCGTGATCCATAAATATAACTTGACTATTTATGTTATTTATTTAAATGTATTTATTTCATCATTTTTACCGTGTTTGTTTTTTGCTGTTAAAACTATTTTAATTACTATTGCTTAAATTATGCGGCCAACTAAATGGTATATGTCCTTGAGAGTCTGTACAAAAACAAGACCCTGTCAAAAACTTTGTTGATTCTATCTTTCGATTCTAATATAAGAAACTTATCCAAGAAAAAACCGTGTTTGTATTCAAAATCTTGGTCGACTCAGGTCAGATTTTTAGTAAAAATACACTTGCATTTTATTTAAAAAACAGTGGGATACTGGTTTCTTATAAGATTAAAACTTGCTAATTTTTAATCGCAACCGGATGGCACGAAACAATTTTCGAAAATGCTGTCAAAAATGCTTAGAATAATAAATTAAAAAAGTTAAAAAGTACAGATCCAAAACAGTTTTCGAACACTTTAAAAAGTATAAAGAACAACACCAGCTCAAAATCGTACACGATAAATAATAAAAAATATAAAGACTCAATCACAAAAGAATTTGCTAACAGTTTTAAAAATTGCTTAAACACTTACTTAATCACATAGACCTCTACAAGTTTTAAAGTTCTACCGTGTATCAAATTCAACGAGGTAATAGTATCGGATGAAAATATAAAAACGTCTATTTCTCGTCTAAAATTTAGCAAATCCAAGGACGCGTTTAGAATTTTATCAGAACATTTGAAGAATGCGAACTGTGAAGATCTAACAGAATGGCTCAGAAAAATATTTTACTTATTTAATAATCATGGACAAACTTTCAAATTGATGTCTGCATCACTTATTAAACCACTTACAAAATCTTATAAATGATCTAAATACCGTCAACTGTAATTGTAAAAAATAACAACTTATCTATCTACATTAGATGCTGAAAAAGCGTTTAATTGCTGCAACTGTGACATTCTATTTGAGAAACTCTACAATAACAAAAAATTACTGCTCTATATTGCTAATGGCATATTCTTATTACATCAAGAAAGCGATGCTACTGTATATTACCTATGTTGCAAATTCTATCCATTTTATCTAACGCAAGGATTAAGATAGTGATCTATTCTCTCGCCTCGTCTGCGTAATATGCACACTCGCAACCTACAAGAAACCTTAAAAAATGAAAATATTGTAGGTGCATCAAAAATTGGTACTAGACGGATGTTTTCTACGCCCGTCTAGTACCCATTTTTTACGCCCGGGGCATAGCAGCAATTAGGCGCCACTTTAAGCTTGTATATTTTAAATTTACAGCATGTGCAACTATCCAAGTTAATGATTTGTTTTTATTTCTAATACCGTTACTCTACATCCATACTTTTATGAACCACATCTGAATTAAAATAATACTCATGCAACTACTCATTCACTGATTATGAATAACATTCAGATTCTTTGAAAATTTTCACTCTTTTCTTGCTTTTATACTAGCACTGTTATTATTATGTCATCTTACGAAAGAGTTGCCTCCAGCTCATATTCAACATGTATGTCCGTTCAACGCTCATGTTCTATAGTGACCCCGAATCATTTTTTTAAATCAATATTATTTTAACTAAAGATCGTTCACCTTCTGCAACAGGATTGGATTAAAGATTGTTGCATTAAAGATTTAAAATTAGCATGCATGTCAGAAAATTCATTTAGCGTGCAAAAAAGTTCAAATTAGCAATAATTAGAATAGCAATCCATATATATTAAAAAATAGGCTATAGACCCTTTGCTTGGAGTGTATTTAAATGAGAAAGCCTAAAATATTTCCAGAAGTGGAAAACTATTAAGATACAAAATATCTTCCATAAAGTTACCTTCAATTTTGAAAGCTTTAATATTTACCGATTCTTGACCTTTTAACTAGATGAACAAAATCAATAAACATTTTCTCATCATCTTAATTTTAAATTGAATTTGTTGAATAATATGACAAAACACAACGTTATAGATATTTTATTTTAGCATATGTTTGGGGAACTTATGGAAAAAATTCTCATGTTCTTTGTAATTTTGCTATTTTAGTCGCTAGGGAACAGACTATTGCGCTTTTCAAAATAGTCTGTTTCCTAACCAAGACGAGTCATCCGCACATCGTAGATCAATACTTTGGTTGAGGCTAGTTCCAAGTAACAATTTTAGAACAGCAAAAATATCTTGCGGTTGTTTTGTTATTAGTTTTATAGAGACAATTTAAGCTGAACGTTGTTGTCCGAATGATTGTAAAGCATGATTTTTTAATTGGCGGGACTATAATTGAAAGTATTAGTAAAATAATTGACATTGCTGCAACCGAAGTAACATCATAAACATACATTTTAAAAGAGTTCATCTTAGTTGCATCAATTACATCATGCATTAGATTAAGTTGTAAAATATAAAACTCAACCAATTGAAAATGACAAACAATTTTGCATTGCAGTATAAGGTAATTGCGTTCTTCGAATGGATTTTAGCCGAGTCTTTTTAGTCTTTGATAATAACTAAAATGTTTAGTTAACAATATTGCGCGTTGTTGGACATGTTTGATTAGAGCAGTTTTTGAAAAGGGATGGCCAGGCTTGCACACGAAACCCTTGATGCAATACTTATTCAAAAATTGGAGAGCACCAACATCGGTATGACTTCTTAAGATAACCAATCATTTGATTGCCGACCCAAGCTGCTGCTTCTTCTTGTACTTTGAATTTGTTGGATAGAAGTACTCCAAGGTCTTGCTCAATGCATGCTGAAACTAGATTGCGTTTTTTTATTATAAAAATCAGCTTGAATAGTTTTAAAAAGCTTTTGAGGCAACCAACTTCTATTACTTAACACTTCTCGTCGTTAAAACTTACAAGGCAGTTGTGCAACCAATTTACAGCGCTGTCGATTTCCGCTTGCAACTTTTCATATTTAGAAGAAACTTGAAACATAACAAGTTATAGCCGATGTTGCCATCATCAGCTATAACTTGTTATGGTTAAAAATTAAGTCTGGTAACCAATTCACGAAGAACTAAAATAACAGTGATGCA